CATTAAAATTTAAAACCATTAGAATCAAAGTCTTAAGATAATTTAAAATAAAATGGTATCATCATTTAGATGGACATGTGAGGGTATTATAATATTTTTCATATGTAATCGAACTCTCAAATTATATTTTGATTATTAGACTAGAACTTATTTTTTTAGGGACTTTTAGTCAAGCTTATGAGCTTCTTAAAAAATAATTTCATTGGGTGACCAATCACACTTAATTAAAAAAGATTGGTAACTACTCTTCCTATTAAATCTAATTATAGATTTATGGATTTATATGTTATGACATTATTTTTTTAATACCTAAATATAATATATTAATCACTTAATATTTGTATATAAGAAATTAATAAGAATAAGTATTTAGAAAAATTCAAACAATAATACTAATATTATTCCATATATATTTATATAAATTATGAGGAGGAATTCATATACATTCGTATAAATTTTATATTATTTTTTATTATTAGATGAAAATTAAATCAATAATAAAATTGAATTAAAATAATATTTTTAATCTTACCATTTTCATTTAAAAAATAAAAAAATATAAAACTTAAACTGATAAAAGTGAATCTTTTCTCATATAAGTAAATATCAATAATACCCTCCTATATGTACAGCCTGCCTAGGTGCACATATAGGTTCAAGGAAACAAAGTGTTTTTTTTTTTTTTCATTTTTTAATTGGTCGGCAAATTAAGAAGGAAGCCCGTATTACAGTCAATTATTTTTCTCCTTCGAGATAAAACATTTTTCATATACTATCCCATTTCTTATTCTCTTTTTCTTAGTATTATTTTTTCAAGGCAAATATAATATAAGATAATATTTAAAATACAAGATTATGATATAATAGAATAAAATGACATTTGAAAAATAAATTTTTTTATTTTAAAAGAATTGAATCATCTTGAGAGGATGATAATATTTTTTATAATCTTATTCCTTTCAATTAAACTCTAAATCAAATATATTATAAAATAATTATCATATTATCATATCTATTATTTTATACACCAAATATGACTTATAAAGACTATCCTAATCCATCACAAGGTTGAAAACAAAATTTATTTCAGTTTGTGGATGCTAATGCTACAGTGCTATTTTGGTCCCCTTGAGACCATGACCATCTACGCGTTGTCATAATGCATTGGATGTGCCTTAAAACAAATAATAATTATACATTTGGCATATCAAATATGTGGCCCCGAGGGGGAAATTCTTTTCTTGACCTCATTCTCTCTTTCTCTCTCTCAATATATATGATCAGTAAACAAATATGAAGGGGATGAGAAAGAGAATAAGGTGTAAGTAAGTCCTTGATTATTTCATATCAAAGATATTGGTACATCTTTGCATGCGAAAGCTGCTTTAAATTAGGTTTTAAGGGAAGATATTTATATATCCAACCGCTTGTTAAATAAAGTATTACTTTTGAGCTGATTTTATATGTTTTTTTTCCTCCTCCTCTCCTTAATCGTATGCGTAGAATCTCGTGTTTTATTTTTGAATAATCATATATAATTTGACGTCCCAACCTTTCACTCTCGTGAGTCTTCTTTATTACATTAATTAATATTATTATGTTTTTCTCATGGTCAAGAAGGGCAGCACAAGAAAAAAAATAAGGGATAAGATCATAATTAAAGAAACATATATACGGGTGTAGAACGAGTCTTTGCAATTTGAAATGGGAAAGATATTTGACCCTTTTTAAGTGTAGGACACCTAAAATTTTACATTGATGGCATATTAGGTAGAGCTTCCAAAAGACAACATGTGCTACCTTGTGCTGAAAATTTGGCCACATCAATATAATTTATCTTTGACTCCATAGAACAATCATGAGAATCATATAATATATAATATATATATGCAATAATGTTAAATTTGATTGAATTAATGTAAGTTTTTAAGTTCAATTCTAATTGATCAATAAATTCATTATATATATATATATATATGCAATAGATTCCACTAAAGTTACAAAGTTGTCAAATGTTAATTATGTACGTATCCGCCTCCTGGAAATAAGAGGCATCCAAATACAACTAATTTCCAATACTTTTTATTATTTTTTAAGAACAATTATTTGGAATTACCTCTTATTTTTATAACCCAAGATTCAACAATAATGTTCCATAGGTTTAAAATTTTTTTCACTTTTCCCCTCAAATTGTTTTAAAAATATTGGTTACAAAAGTATTTATTCTTAAAAATTTTTACTTCTAAAGTCTAAATCATAATTTGGGTCTAGAGTCAAAGGTTCAAACTATGTAATAGTTATATACATACGCTAGCAATTTTGCGTACCAAATATTAAAAAAAAATTCCAAACTAATAATATTATAATTAAAGTTGTCTAAATTGTAAGAAGGAAAGAGGAATAAGAGGATAATGTGAAACAAAAGAAAAAAGAAACAAGAGAGAATTGGGAGGAAGGAAATTAGATGGCTTCAATTAAGCTCCCTTCTAACAAAATAGAGAAATAGATAGATGGATTGCAAATGGCTAATGAACCAGTTAGGCCACCTTTGAATCCACAACTTCTAGGACTTTTCGAAATGAAAATTGGCTGGCGGAGTTCAAATTTAATTAAGTGGGCTAGCGGACCTTAAAGGCCCAACTCTTGATTGATTTTCATTTTCCTTCTTGGAGTTACTTTGAAGGCTTTCAGCTGCTTATAAATTCCTGAAAACTTTGTTCTTAGGTAATTTCTCTGAGAATTTCAATTATATTAAAAAAAAAAAAAATCTTGTTAATCTTTTTGTTTCCATTCTACGGATTTTCCATTTATTTTCTATTTGGTTGAAATCGCTCCTTTATCTCCCGGCACACCTTCTTATTTCACTTTTAAGAATATATATTGTGGATATAGAATATAATAAACTCTACGATTCACATAATAAACTAGCAATGTCATGTAGTAAAAATTTATTGTAATAAACTTGTACGATCCGTGCTGGACGTGATCTAAAAACATAGTTTAACCTAGCTAAAACTAGTTTTCTTTCCTCGTGCTTAATTGCTCGAGGTGACTGATAAAGAGCCAGAAATTTCTTATAAAAATGCATGGCATATACAGATGTCGACAGAGAATGTGTGTCGACAGAGAATGTGTATCCCCAAAAGGGAAATTCCTGGCCCCTTATTTTGGTTTTTATTCTGATTTCTGAACACCTTATTGACCCATCTTTAGTTGTCCTACATGGAATTCGACCAATTGAATATCAGTTTTACTTTCAACTTTACTATTTATAATTCAGAATGAATATACGTGCAATGATTCTGGCAGCTTTAATTAATACTTGTTATTAATAATTTCTTTGACAGAAATCCCATCCATATATAGCAACGCCCGCAGGCATGGCCTTGAAAACCAACCTTTTAATTTACATACATAGTATATTAAAGGTTACACGAAATTAAGCTGCATATAAATCATTTACTCACTTGTACAGTCTTCAAGTTCTTGGACCAGCTGAAATAATAAACTAAATGATCAACAATTCCCGAGTGTAAAGCTACTAATTTCCTGCATAGGCCTGCACGTTATTAATTCTTAGTAACAAAACTAGTTTACATATATAATAGATTTGTGCATGATGAACAAGAACAACTCAGTTTTTGTATTTGTGTTGATATAGACAATTAATAGCAAGTGCCAGATCCGTTTGAGTTTTCATAGTAATAATAAATACTACTAATAGGAAATAAACACGTATGTTATATGTGTGGATGGATTCCAGATCCATATGTAGGCCATATATAGCTGTCAAATATATGATGTATTTGGATGCAAGAAGGCAGAGCAGGCTAAGATTATATATATTTTGGCTCTTTCATGGCCGAAGCTTTGACAAGTCTCCATCATAGCCAGCTGAAAATGTCGATGCTGGCATTTCGTTGTCCTTACTTGTCATCTAGCCTCCACTTCATTCATCAAAACAAACAAGATCATGGAAGTGCCATTTGCTGCATCCCTCTGGATTTTGACTTTGTTAATCACATTAAATTCTTTCTTCCATTTTCTATTGATGTAATATCTCTAATATCTAAACTCCCTATAATTTCTGAATTCATTAATCCAGAAATGGAGGCGTGTGAAAGTAATTAACTAGGTGGACCCAAATTTGGCAAAGCAATGGCATGCGGGGCTTAAATGTGGTCTTGAATGGTGGCCCCAACCAAAAGATGATTGCCATCAGCTATCGTCCATCACGGACCCGTTTCTGTATATAGACTTCCTCCTGTATAACAGCGTAGCACGCGTCGCCAGCAGATCACTTTCGCATCTCTCTACATTTTGGAAATTGTTATTTCTAGTTTCACGCGCCGTTGGAGCAATTGTGTTCCATTATTTCTTTTTAGATAAAAAAAATTAAAATATAGGCGTAAGATTTTAATTTTTAAACCTTATCCTCTTTTATAAGGAATAAACAACATGAAAAACCGTGTATTAAAATAAAAACATACAAGTGATATTAATCGATGTAATTTAATTATAATTTATACAACAGTGACTTCATTTGTGTTGTTCTTCTGGCTCTGGGTATTACAATTAACTACATCTAATAATTACTTATAAATTAATTTTGCTACAATTACAAGTGTGGTGGATTAATATTCTCACGTGATACCCATTATAAGACAAACGCTTCAGGCTCGTAGAAAAAAATTAATAATTAGAATTAATTAATACTATAAAATAATATCATTCAGATAATTAGTGATCGAAAAATAAATAATGTTGCTATGTAACGTTCACGCTCTTGAAAGTGTAGTGAGGGAACTGTCACGTGAGATGGATTGCGATTTGCGAGAGATGCGGGGCTTGAAAATGATAGATAGAAGAGACAGAAGAAACAAAAAGTTTTGCAGTTTAACTGTCATGATTAATAAGATTAGACTTTTTTTCTATTTTGATTCAGAGTAAGATCGGAAGATCTGTGTGTGTGTGAGAGAGAGAGAGAGAGAGAGAGAGAGAGGGATGGCGTGAAAGACTGGCAGTGCGCGACTTTAGCGGCTTTCCTCTTCTACCGCATTTGATATTCTGTCAAAGATTAAAAAAAAAAAAAAAAAAAAGGGGGAAAGACGTACGCACGCAAATTTATCTGAGTAGAGACTTGGAATACAAATTTCATAGACGTAAAAAGAAAAAAAGAAAAGTAAAACTGACACAACTCCCTTCAAATTTGGAGAAACAACCAAAAAGGAAAACATCAAACGAGGTGATTGAAAGACAGAGAAAAACAGATAAATAGAGAGAGAGTGGCCGTTTAAACGGCCACCTCCACCTCAAACAACTTCTGGTTGGCCGCTAACGTGATTATTTCGTCCCTTAAAAACAACTCTCCATTTCCATTTCCATTTCCATTACTCTTTTTTTGTTTTTAATCTTTCCGCCTACTCTATTTTTTCTCGTGAAAACAAGAAGGAAAGGGAAACAGAACAGAAATTCCAGAGAGGAGACAAAGAGGCAAAAAGTAAAGCAGAAAAAACTACCTTTTTTTTTAAATACCCAATTGAGCCCTTCATCACTATTGTGTTCCCAGCCTCTGTTTATCTGAGCTGTGGTGTTCTGCAGGTAAATTTGATTTGTCATTCATTTCATTCATTTCTTCAATACCCATTTCGTATACATTTCCAGATCTTCCATGTTGCTCCTCTTTTTTGGGGTCTGGAAACTTGTTGAAATTTTTTATTTTTACCATTAGAGAAAAATTTTCCTTTGCTTCCTTGATGCGAACAAAGATGCAGCATAATATATTCACCACAATGCGTAGTTTAAAGTTTATAGATGGATGTAAAGGCACACAAGTTTATGACCTTAACTCTACCGGCGATGGTGGTGGGGATCCCGCCGCCAGTGGTGGAGGTGGAGTCGGTGAAAAACTCTTCCACCAACTTCAAGACCATCTTAGAGTTAATTCGATTCGATCCAAATCGAGTCGAAATTACCAAGCTTCTAACATGACCCCTGCTGTTGTAACTGAAACCCTGCTTCCTTATGGCCTCCCTGTCTCCGATCTCCTTGAACCCCAGATTGAACCATGCCTAAAGTTCGTTGATTTTATGGAAACTCTTGCTGATGTGTACCGTAGGATTGAGAAGTGTCCTCAATTTGAGAAATCAAGAATGTATCTCGAACAATGTGCAATCTTTAGGGGCTTATCAGATCCGAAACTGTTCCGGCGGACCCTTCGGTCTGCCAGGCAGCATGCCGTGGATGTGCATTCCAAGATTGTGTTAGCAGCGTGGTTGAGGTATGAGAGGAGGGAGGACGAGCTTGTTGGCACATATTCAATGGATTGTTGTGGACGAAACATTGAGTGCCCTAAGGCTACCTTGGTAGCTGGTTATAATCCAGAATCTATTTATGATCCTTGTATTTGTTCTAGGACCCCTCGAGGGGAATTCGAGGATGATTCTTCAATTGTGTATGAGGAATGTTCCACTTCTGATGATGATGGGGATATGTCATTTTGTATTGGAGATGACGAGATCAAGTGTATAAGGTCCAATATTGCTTCGTTATCAACACCATTTAGGACAATGTTGTATGGTGGTTTCAGGGAGTCAAGAAGAGAGAAGATAAATTTTACCCAGAATGGTATTTCTGTAGAGGGAATGAGAGCTGCTGAGGTATATAGCAGGACAAAAAGATTAGATTCTTTTGGTCCACGAATTATTTTGGAGCTTCTTTCTTTCTCAAATAGGTTTTGTTGCGACAATTTGAAGTCTGCTTGTGATGCTTATTTAGCATCTTTGGTAAATGACATGGAAGATGCACTGTTGTTAATTGAGCATGGATTGGAGGAAAATGCGCATCTTCTTGTGGCAGCTTGCTTGCAGGTTTTCTTGAGGGAGCTCCCAAATTCGATGCACAGTCCTAATGTGATGAAAATTTTTTGTAGTCCGGATGCAAGGGAAAGATTGGCTCTAGTTGGGCATGCTTCCTTTTTATTGTATTACTTTTTGTGCCAGATTGCAATGGAGGAAGATATGAAATCTAACACTACTGTGATGCTGCTAGAGAGGTTGACGGAGTGTGTGACAGAAAGGTGGGAGAAACAACTTGCGTATCACTTGTTAGGTGTTGTGATGCTTGAGAGAAAAGAGTACAAAGATGCTCAAAGTTGGTTTGAGGCAGCTTTTGAGTCTGGTCATATATATTCGTTAGTAGGTGTTGCAAGGGCCAAGTTCAAGCGTGGCCACAAGTATTCGGCATACAAGTTGATTAACTCACTCATTTCAGATTCTAAGTCAGTTGGATGGATGCATCAGGAACGTTCTCTGTATTGTGTTGGGAAGGAGAAGATGTTGGATTTAGAAATGGCTACAGAATTGGATCCAACCCTTCCTTTTCCATACAAATACCGGGCTGTTTCATTGTTGGAGGAAACTAAGATTGGAGCAGCAATCTCAGAAATTAATAAAGTAATCAGTTTCAAGGTATCCCCGGACTGCCTTGAGTTACGGGCCTGGATTTTGATTGCCATGGAGGATTTTGAAGGAGCTCTTAGAGATGTCCGGGCACTTTTGACTTTAGAACCAAATTACATGGTGTTTCATGGAAAAATGCATGGTGACCACTTGGTGGAGCTCCTGCGTCCTCTTGTTCAGCAGTGGAGTCAGGCTGATTGCTGGATGGAATTGTATGACCGGTGGTCTTCTGTTGATGATATTGGTTCCTTAGCTGTTGTACACCATATGTTGGCAAATGACCCTGGAAAGAGCCTCCTATGGTTTAGGCAGTCTCTCCTCCTTTTAAGGTAATATGATAAACTCTTTCACTGGTTGAATGAAATCTCCTTTTGCTGTTTCTGTGAATGGAATTTCAGTAGAGATTCTTTCTGATAGATAGAATTTGTTTTTAGCTGTATGGAAGAACTTGCATTTAATGCTTTGTTGTGAAGATAAACTGCTTTATGCCCTAGTAGATTATTTGAATTTAAATCTAAGATTAACATTATGAATATATGATAAGCCAAGCGATGTTTTCTTCTGCATTATTTTCAGATGTATGTGTCCACCCATTTAAAGGCATGGTGGATTCTGTTTTAACTACAGAAAAATAAATTAATATCTATATGACATTGTAATATGTTCATTGTTGAGACAATGCAGCATGCAAGGCCATCATGGTGATATCATATGGTATACCTCATGGAAATTTAATTCATCATTGTATGCACAGTCAACTTACTAATGATAGGAGATGTAAAGTAAAATAACTCCATTCCCTCCTAGTTCTAATTGCTCTTTCCCTCAAATATTCTTTCGTAAATGGTGGAAATTCATTCCTCATTTGCTTCCTAGTATTAGTACAATTTATTTTTGAGGTTAACAAGTTCTTCTCAGTTATGAGTGAATATTACTAAATAAATTAACTTATATTTGACACATTAACTGTCCTGTATCAAATGTTTTATATGTGTTGTACATGTCAATTGTGATCATGGAACATGCCATCTGTCTCAATGGCACTTGAGGCTGTTTCTCAATGACATTGATTCAGATAAGTGAGGCATACTTGTTTCTACGCTATCTTAGTTAAATTCAAACATTGATAGAATGCAATATTCTGCTTACCTTAGTCGTCTGTCTGTTCTAAGAGTTTGCTACCAAATTCTATAGGTTAAATTGTCAAAAGGCTGCAATGCGTAGTCTACGGTTGGCTAGAAACCATTCTACTTCAGAACATGAAAGGCTCGTTTATGAAGGATGGATATTATACGACACTGGCCACCGTGAGGAAGCACTGGCCAAGGCAGAGGAGTCAATCTCCATCCAGAGATCATTTGAAGCTTTCTTTCTTAAAGCATATGCTTTAGCAGATTCTAGTCTTGATCAAGAGTCCTCAGTATATGTTATTCAACTTCTGGAGGAAGCTCTTAGATGCCCTTCAGATGGCCTTCGGAAAGGGCAAGTAAGTATTTTTGGAGTAATTTTAACTCTAGCTATATAAGTGCAATAAATTGGTTTGGAGTTCTGAGTGATTCTGCAATCCCGCAGGCATTGAATAATTTAGGTAGTGTGTATGTAGACTGTGAAAAGCTAGATCTCGCTGCTGATTGCTACATGAATGCACTCAACATCAAGCATACACGAGCACATCAGGGTCTAGCACGGGTATTCCATCTCAAAAATCAGCGTAAAGCTGCATATGAGGAGATGACAAAGTTGATAGAGAAGGCACGCAACAATGCTTCAGCATATGAGAAGCGTTCGGAATATTGTGAACGTGACATGGCTAAGAGTGATCTTATTATGGCAACACGATTAGATCCCTTGAGGACATATCCTTACAGATACAGGGCAGCAGGTAAGTTCCATGACCAGGGTCTACAGTTTTCTTTCCCAATAATTTTGTTTCTGGAAATTGCTATTCTTAACCTTGCTTTTGATTAGGCATTGAAGAATTGCATTGCACTGTGACTCTTATGTTTTTCGAATGCTATTAGCTGTAATGGTCAGCCCCAACTCAATAGACAATTAGTTGATTCTAGATCCCTGTTTAGGTTGAGTGAATTAATTTGTCCATGGTTTTAGATCTTGTTTACCTTCTTTTAAACTCCTCATTTCCATCTGTTGCTGGCTCATTGTTTCATTGCCGCATCTTTGGTCATATGGAAGCCTTGATCTTTCATGTTGTAAGAGAAATTTGTTTCCATGTGGAAACAGTTTTTCTTCTTGGTGCAAAAGCATAGGGTTGCCAGTTCATTGATTTAAAGGAATAAATGAAGAAACTTCCTTTATTGTTTGTCTTGCTTTGCTTATTTGGCATTTGGAAAAAGGATATCCATCTTGATGTTCAGGTGCTTTGATGATCAAGACCACTGTTAAATTACGTTAATATAAATGTTTATGTTAATATAAATGTTACTAATAATTATCTATCCTGTAAAATTGTCAAATGTTATCCATCAGAAAGGAAAGAAACGAAAAATAAATTGTTGACTAAAATTAAGAATTTGATTCCTTGTTTTCTGATATATTTAATTGGTATGAAATTTAGGTTTAGAGTGTCATAAATGCTTGTTATTTGTTTTCAATTGTTTATTCTGTGATTTTGAATTTGGTCCTGAATACTGAGACCACATTTACATACGGGGCTAGCTTTTTTCAGCCTTTAACATAAACATTCTGCCTTTCCAGTTCTAATGGATGATCATAAAGAAAATGAAGCTATAGCAGAGCTCACAAAAGCTATAGCTTTCAAGCCAGATCTGCAGCTATTACATCTTCGAGCTGCTTTCTGTGATTCAGTGGGTGACTATATATCCGCTGTTAGAGATTGTGAAGCAGCTCTATGTCTTGATCCCAACAATACTGATACTCTTGAGCTATATAATAAAGTCCGTGAGCAGGTTAAAGAACAGAAGTGAGAAAAGTCGAATCCCCATGATCATTTCATCTCTTCATCGTCTACTATGGGCAAACTGATTTTTGCCATCCTTTAATCTTCCAAATATTTTTGTTAAATTACCAGGAAGGGCACCATTGTTTATGGATTTTGTCTCTGGGAAATTCAGAAGCACCGCCATGGCCTTGGGAGGAGCAGAATTAGGAGGAAAGAAAAAGGACTTGTTTGGTTTAATGAGAAAGGAGGAAAGAAGTAAAGGGGAACCGGGGAAGATAGCTTGTAAATATTTGTTTTCTGTCTCAAGGATTGGACCAATCAATGATATAAATAGTCCAGGCAGGCATGCGACTGATGCTGCTACTGCCCTATGTATTTCTCTGGCAAGGTTGGTGCCAATTCTACAGGCATAACAATCATGTAAATGAAACTGCAGAAGTCTATAGATTTTACACTGTTGGCTTTTTTGCTATACCTTAAGTATTCTAACTCTTCTCATCCTTAATGTTCTATTGTTGTTCGAGCTTGAAATTTTCCCTTAAAAAGGGTTCCTTTCAAACAGTTTTAGACTACAGTTATATTTGAGATCCCCTGCATAGTCCAAGTGTATGCGTTCTACTTGTTTCAAGACTTGGTCCGGACCCGATCTACGGTCCTAAGCCCTTTGTTAAAAAGCACTTATTATATTTTGCAATTTTCTTTCTTTATTTTCCGCCCATATGAAGAGTCGAGGAACTGTTAAACCAAAGTAGTACTAGTATCAATGGGATATTCGAACCATAAGCATTTGATTTTTCACTTCTCAGATGTTATCTTCCAATCCCAAGTTTAAGAATCATTTGGAGTATTATTCTTTGATTTTAATTTTAAAGAGAGGAAAATCGGGACAATTAGTGCACAGCCTTTCAAAGCCCATGGGCCCAATAGCATTACCTAACCCGCTGGGGGGAGCGTCGCACGTGGTAGATTTCAAAAATCTAGGGTTTTCGTGTGGGTGACCCGGGCAGGCTCAAAGCTGCCCGGTCGTTCAGTTTGGTGTTTTCACATTGAGCCCCTCCCTCCCTCCCTCCCTAGTCTCTCCCGCTTCCTTCCCGTCATTCGAAATTGATTTATATTTATATATTATTCTGTTAAAATCACCTCATCATTCTCTCGAATCCACACTTCCCTTTCTCTAATCGCCGATTCTCTCTCTCTTTCTCCTTTTCTTCTCGTTCTTCTAAGCTTAGGCAAAACAGGAAAAAACAAAAACCACCGGCGAGAGAGAAACCCTAAGTTTTATCTTCCTGGAGGTTTTTAATTTTAAATCTCTCTGCTTCGTCGGAGACTAGTTTGAGGTATCAATCTCACCTCAACTTTGCCTCTGGCTTTCCAATTTTGTATTAGTTTCAGATCTAAGGTTTTTGCTTATGCTTCAGTGGGTTTTTTCTAGGGTTTTGGAATTTCATCTCAGCATAAAAAAATTAGAGTTCTTTTTTTTTTTTTTTTTTCTCATTTCTGAATCTATGGATCTCGTTTGGCGTGTTCTTTTTTGTTAGTTTGTCGTCTATATTATTTATTGTTTTTTTTTTTTAGTTTGTTATGTTTCCTTCTGTTTCTGCTATTTGAAAAGGAATAAGAGTATTCGTTTTGTATTATTGTTCTAAATTTTTCTTAGCTTAAAACTGTTTGGTTTCTGTGACTGAACAGGGAAAGGAGAATTAACTTTGGGGGTTTTATATCAGAGACCCCTGAATAAAGAAAATGTAATGCTTTAATTTCCTTCATTTACCTCCAACTTGGAAAGCGCATAACTTAACAACACAACTATAAGGGGGCAGTGGTGGGGGTCAATTACCTCTGCACGCATATGGTACTGGATGTGCTTGAAATTTGAATATTCTTGTTGCCATCATAAGGATTTTGTCGCATTTTATTGGACAACATTGTTTAACTGGTTCAGCTTAGTTGTCACGGTTGAGTCCACCCAATCAGTACCGTTGGTGTTTGAATCTATGTTCAACTCAGTAAACGTTTGTCTCTGTTTGCTGGATTCCTTTTGTGGTTTCGATAAATTCACTCTGTCAATATTTCCTCCAACCGTTTTTATTACTTATTGTTAGCTTTTGGCCTTGTTCAATTATAACATTCTACAATCTCTATGAACGGATTTGTATCATGGTCATTATTTGTAATCAGTGTTTTATGTTCCCAGTTGTATTGTAGTTAAAATGGCTATGGAGATTACTCAGTTTCTTCTGGCTGCTCAATCAGCGGATGCAAAAGTACGGACAGAGGCTGAGGCTAATCTGAGGCAGTTCCAAGAGCAGAATCTGCCTGTTTTCCTTCTTTCATTGTCAGTTGAGCTTGCAAATAATGATAAGCCTGTTGAGTCCCGTAGATTGGCTGGTATTGTGCTTAAGAATTCGTTAGATGCTAAAGATGTTATTAGAAAGGAACAACTTGTTCAACAGTGGATGGCAACTGACATTTCTGTTAAGTCTCAAATCAAAGACTTGCTCTTGAGGACTCTAGGCTCATCTGTTCCTGAGGCTAGGCACACTTCTGCTCAAGTTATTGCGAAAATTGCTTCAATTGAGATACCTCAGAAGGAGTGGCCGGAACTGATTGGATCATTGCTTAACTATATGACACAGCAAGATAGGCCTGCAGCCCTGAAACAGGCTACCTTGGAAACTCTTGGATATGTTTGTGAGGAGATATCTCATCAGGACCTTGTTCAAGAGGAAGTCAATGCTGTTCTCACTGCTGTTGTTCAAGGGATGAACCTAGCTGAACATGGTCCTGAAGTTCGGCTTGCAGCAACCAAGGCTCTATATAATGCTTTAGAGTTTGCACAGACCAACTTTGAGAATGAGATGGAGCGGAATTACATCATGAAGGTTGTATGTGATACTGCCATGTCCAAAGAAGTGGAAATCAGGCAGGCTGCTTTTGAGTGTCTTGTTGCAATAGCATCAGCATACTATGAGGTGCTTGAGCCATACATGCAAACTCTATTTCAGCTTACGTCAAATGCTGTAAAAGGTGATGAAGAGACTGTTGCTCTCCAAGCTATTGAGTTCTGGAGCTCTATTTGTGATGAAGAGATTGAACTTCAGGAGTTTGAGAGTCCTGAAAGCGGGGACTCTGGACCTCCACATTCACGTTTCATAGAAAAGGCTCTGTCATCTCTTGTTCCTTTGTTGTTGGAAACTTTGCTGAAACAGGAAGAGGATCAGGACCAGGATGATACAATCTGGAACATTTCTATGGCTGGGGGGACATGTCTGGGTCTTGTTGCCAGAACCGTTGGGGATGATATAGTGCCTCTTGTAATGCCATTTGTGGAATCTAACATTTTGAAGCCAGATTGGCGATGTAGAGAGGCAGCCACTTATGCATTTGGATCTATTCTTGAAGGTCCGACTGTTGAGAAGCTCTCCCCTCTTGTACAGGCGGGTCTGGATTTTCTGCTTGCTGCTATGAAGGATGGAAACAACCATGTGAAGGACACAACTGCTTGGACTCTTAGTCGTATTTTTGAGTTACTGCACAGTCCAGCTAGTGGGTTTTCTGTCATTTCTCCTGAGAATCTCAAACGAGTTGTGGGTGTGTTGTTGGAGAGCCTTAAGGATGCTCCCAATGTAGCTGAGAAAGCTTGTGGGGCGATCTATTACCTTGTCCAGGGCTATGAGGATGCAGGGCCAAGTTCGTCTCTTCTTTCTCCGTGTCTGACAGATATAATCAGTTGTCTAATTGCAACTGCTGATCGTACAGATGGAGGTGACTCCAAGCTCAGGTCTTCTGCATATGAAACCTTGAATGAAGTTGTGAGGTGTTCCAACATTGCAGAAACATCTCCCATCATAGCACAGTTATTACCAGTCATTATGGATAAGTTGGGCCAGACGGTGGAGATTCAGATTGTATCATCAGATGATAGGGAAAAGCAAGGGGACTTGCAAGCCTCTCTTTGTGGTGTTTTGCAGGTTATCATCCAGAAACTTAGCAGTACAGATGATACCAAGCCCATCATACTTCAGGCTGCAGATCAGATCATGATTCTATTCCTTAAGGTGTTTGGTTGCCGCAGCTCTACTGTGCACGAGGAAGCAATGCTTGCAATTGGTGCACTTGCTTATGCCACTGGACCTCAGTTTGAGAAGTATATGCCTGAGTTCTCTAAGTATCTTCAGATGGGACTGCAGAATTTTGAGGAATACCAGGTTTGTGGGATTACAGTTGGTGTTGTTGGTGATATTTGCCGTGCCTTGGATGACAAGGTCTTGCCCTATTGTGATGGCATCATGGGCCTTCTTCTAAAGGATCTTGCTAGTTCAGAACTCCACCGGTCTGTAAAGCCTCCCATATTTTCTTGTTTTGGGGACATTGCTCTTGCAATAGGAGAGCACTTTGAGAAGTATGTCCCCTATGCCTTACCCATGATGCAAGGAGCAGCCGAAATCTGTGCTCAGATGGAAACTGCTGATGAGGAGATGATGGATTATGGTAACCAGCTCAGGCGTAGTATTTTTGAAGCTTATTCCGGTATCCTCCAAGGTTTTAAGAGTGTGAAGCCTGATGTAATGGTGCCCTATGCTCAACATCTCTTGAAGTTTATAGAATTGGTTTCTAGAGACAGACAAAGGTAGTTTTATTTTTCTTCTTTTCCTCCTCTTTGGTACGTATTTGCTGCTATTGTCTTTGGTTTTGTCCATCTCAATACTTCTTTTTCCATGTGATGCAGGGATGAAAGTGTGACAAAAGCTGCAGTGGCTGTTATGGGTGATCTTGCAGATGCTCTTGGCTCCAATATAAAGCTTTTGTTTAAAGACTGTGCATTCTATGATGATTTTCTTGGTGAATGTCTCCAATCTGACGATGAGCAGCTCAAGGAGACTGCAGGTTGGACCCAGGGTATGATTGGACGTGTCATGGTTTAATGCGCTGCAGTTAGTCCTTCGAGTAAAGTTGTTATGTTGGTTTTTCCTTTTTTCTTACTATAAATGTGTTTTCCTTCTAGTTCTGGTAAAGGTTTTTAAGTCGTTAGGGAACCAAAGGGGGGTTACTACATGTATCTGTACTTTATTATTGCGGATTTGGGTTTTGAATTATCAGGATTTTCTTAATCCGCTTGTCATTGGGTAGAGAACAAAGTTAAGTGCTGGCATTGTCTGAGTATGTGAATTTTGTTAAAAAAAAAAAAATCCACTAATCAGTGGCCCGTTGAGTCAAATTTCTCCCCCTGCATATTGTTTATGCTTTTAGTTTCAAATTCAACCTACTGGATTTTCATGTGATTCTGACATGGGCTGCCTGCAGCTTGAGTTGCCAGAAAATGATTTTTTATATATATATATATGTGGTGTGTGTGTGTGTATATATATATATATATATAACTTTAAATTTGATTTCTTTGCTGAAATTTACGGTTGGAGTGCTACAGTACTTTAAGAAATGATTCTATCCAAAATCTTGTCTTGAATCAAAGTTATCCTTTGCCAACCTAGAACATAAAGTAAAAATGTTTTGATCAGAATCAAGTCAACTTACAGAAATTTGGTTCGTAAAGCGTGTCTTTGAACTAAATTGGTGATAGAGGTAGTCTCAGGTTTACGCTGAAGCTCAGATTATATAACCGTGCTTTTTCTTTCGATATGATTTAAAGTAGTTGGAACTTCATTTTCATTCTTTGACAAATTGGACTTTAATGTAACCTACCTAGATTTTTTTTTCCCTTCTGTACATTACAAAACCTACTTAGTTACGAACGGTCATTCTGAAATCACTTTAAATTAAATTTTATTCATCAAGTCTTGCTCTATCAATGGGGTGGATTAACCAAACCCAAGTCAAGGAAAATAGCGCATCATAATAATGAATAATAACAATCATCAAAAAAGTGGAAGATTACAGGCTAAGGGCACCAAAAAGGAAAAGAGAAAATAAAGCTGGGGAAGAAGCAGGGAGGTTCCCGTACGGTTTTGGAAATGGGTCGAGATTATCTGCCTGTGGATATAGAAG